CTATGTTCTTCGTAAGCATAATGGAAAGAAGAGTCGATCAGATTCCAGTGAAACTTAAGACTAACGAAGCATGTTGTTCTCTTTGCTTGTTTTCTCGTCTTTCTCGTTGTGTTGCATTTGCTTTATGATTTAGTTAATAAACAATAAAACATGGAAAGTAGATGAATCTTTCTTATCTGGGTGCATCTTCTTTGTTGATAAAGAAAATATTCAAACATAAATTTTCGAAGTTACACAATAGCGAACTGTTAATGATCCTAGTCTGAATGGGCACACAAACCTAACTAAAATTGGCAGACACTTGGAAACTGTCGAGTGTATGACGACTAATCAATTTGGTTTATAAAAACGAGTGTTTTGCTTCTCAGTGGTACTTTGAAGTATTAATATGAGCAAAGAACTTTTATAGTAAACAAAAGATAGAAATGGAAATAAATCAACGACTGAATATATTGTATTAGAAGCATTACTAGAACAGAAAAAGGTATCGCAAGTCAATGAGCATTTTGCAAGTTTGTCGTGCCACATTATCAACATACACTAGTAGTGTTTAGACATTCCCAAAAGCAGTCATGAATTCAAAGCCATGAACAGGAAGTATGTCTACAAAACTCTGCATAGTCGCAGAGACCGTAACCCTAGTATGGGCAAAAACCACTAGGACAGACGGTTTTGTTATATCGTTGAACAGCTGCCTCTGCTATTGAGTTTTGTACGAGAAATTTCAATCTTGTCTTTGTGTTGTTTGAGAACGACCACTTGAGTTTGTCTCAATTGTTCGACTTTGACTTGCATCGTTATAGTCTCTTTGAAGATCTTTGTCTAACGTCAAGCAAATGTTTCTCGTTCACTTTCTTTTACAAAGTAGATGTCTTTGTTGTCTCCAAGCCACTTGAAAATTTCTCTGAGAGTTTTTTTACAAGCTTGAAGAAAAGAGAGGATTCTTGTACTCTTTGAAGAATTGTACGCGATAGTAACAGAAAGAATCGTATAAAGAATGTAGGATGTGCACTTGGAAAAATCAAAACTTGGAAACTGTACAACTCGTGACTCCAAAACCTTACTTGCAAGTTGGACTTCGAGTGCTTGGATATATTTTTGAAACTCACTGTTTATTAAAAAAACGTTTTCAAGTGTTGGTAGAAAAGGGTCGCCAATTTTATTGTGTCTGAGGTTGTCAGTTCCTTTCCCACATTAGTAAAGAAAGTCAAGATACTTGAAATGCCACATATGTAAAGTAGGAAACAAAAGGTTTGAAATTGTGAGACAAACATTATTTTAGTATAACAGTCAAAATGCCATAAAGATGGCATGTTTACAAGCAGAAAATCCAATGCTACAATGGCATTCATTGAATAGATATTTTGTCTATTTTCAATTAGTCAAAATACACAAATTTTTTTTCTGAACGGTTGCTTTCACTTATAGTGTATCTACACAAACTTTCTCTTTTATGTGGCAATATTCTTCATACTATGATCCAATCAATGGCAACGTAGCCAAGGTCTTGCTATGTAGAAGTGTTGAACAGGAATATTGTCCGAAAAAAGAGAATCAAGTTTGCTGGCATTCTTCATAAATGATCCCACACTAGTTGAAAATCTTGTAAATATTCTGGTTCTACTGTTATACAATAAGAAAAGAAGTCACAACAGGGAATTCACTACTAAGGATATTATTTCCGCAACAACTCTCAGGTCATCGCAAGAGGCATCACAATTCAGTGTACAGTTCACTACACTATCCTTAGTATTTAACATAATAGTTGTCGTAGAAACTCATTTGAATGATATCAACGCTTCTCAGACAAGTTATTATAGTTTCTCCATCGAAGAATAAACTGTTGCAGAAAGTGATCTTATTGTTTTTCCAATTTCAAGCCACGCAGTTCTCTATTATTTAGTCTGTTTCCTTTTCAGCAGTATTCTCTGAAACTACTGGATAAATACACAAAGTATATATTGCCATAGCTCAAGCGTCGTATCACAAATGTAAAGTTCAATCAATACCACTCTCGCTATTTGGAAGATAAAAAAATTTCTTAAGACTTTGTTTGGACTTGAGAACTTAGATCAACCAGCCTTTTGCAAGCATTTTCCAATAAAACCATGTTAAGTGTTTCATCTCCTCTTCAAGAAACTCATGGATGCCACGAAGAATCAAAATAACGTCTCTAGGAGCTATACCAAAGATTAATAAAGTAGAGTCGTCCAAATGTGAAAAGCTTCTTGGACTAAACACTCGCAGTTGACGTGCATAGCGCTCAATAAACGAAGCTTCCGTGAAGCCATAACGTTCTCTTAGAAAAGTATTCCAATCAAATGACGAAGACAAAGAACTCGATGCTGCAGCCCCTTATTCTCCTCGTGTATCTCCTTCTTCCACTTGCACAGCACTTTGAAGCTCTTCCATTTGCATCCTATTCTCATCATTTGTTCTCGGTCTTATATTTCAAGACACTCTTGAAGTAACATTTGATTGTTCAGCTTCCAAAGATGAAACATATTCATTAGACATCGACTCAAAGATAGTTTTACACCATTCTGAAAAGTTTTTACTAAACTCTCCTCGGTTTGCTTCCCCAATTTTCCTCAAAATTTCGACATTATCTCTTCCCAAATATATTTCAAGGTTCCTTTGAGAAACAACTACCAGTTGCAGACATGATCGACTACTTTCATTCAAAGTTGATCCCGAAGAATGTTGAGTCACAAAACCACTTGCATCTTCAACAATGTTTTGTTCTTCAACAGAGAAACCTACAGATCGATCATATCTAGTACAAACTACCACCACAAACTGAAAACAAAGTTGAACAGATGAAAAAGATTCGTCATTCAAAACGGAAATAACTTCTTGGAAAAATTGTTCTGCTTCCTCCTTAATATTTGTTTTCGAAAATTCAGTTTTGTGATAAAATTTGAATAAAAATCCAACAACATAACGTGTTTGTCCATTATGAAATATAACATATGCATCAGGGCCACTAGAATTGCCATCTTTTGGAACAAGAATACCACAACGTTGTAAATATTTTCTATAATAGTCAGAAAATGAATCAGAGACATTTCTCAAGATGGGTATATCATTAGATTTTGTTGATTCCATAGAATAAGAAACATTGTCCTGCTCAATAAAAGAACCTTGGAAAATTCCTGGAATAGCAGAATGTACAATAGGCGAGGAATTAGAATGAAGAAAAGTTAATAAGCGAAAACGAAAGATCTTCATAAATACAAATTCAAAGAAGACTCAACGTGCTGTTGAAGCGTCGGAAATATAACTAAACGGAGATAAAGGAAAGAGTTCAGTAGCCTCACGGAAAAAGTTATAGTTGCTATGAGCTCTCAATATAAATTCACAACAACCAATCTTGAATTCGGTGCCCATATCAATTCCATCAGTTCCACAACTTTCAGAATAAAACCCAAAAGTTGCAACCAAGTCCATCAAATAAGTTTTCGTTCCACATATAGTAACTATAAAGTTAATTGGAAAAATTGTTCCGAGCAGATAATTCAAAAGGACAAATTGATATCGAAGAAGGGTTGCGGAATCAGGTATCTCCGGAATAATAATCGTCACCGACTCTAGTAGTACCAAGCGAAAGATTCTATCTAATAAGGGTTCCATATTGTCATTGTTGATAACAGGTTGAGATAAGTTTGCAAGTTTCCCTACTAGGGCTAGTAAAGTATTCCTTACAATCAACGGAATACCTCCTGTCTTCTTTTTCAACAATTCTACGAATCGATGTTGTAAATCATCAGAGGGCAACAACCAGTCCTTCAAGGACTTTCCATCATAAGTTGCCACCTCAAGATATTCACCAATATCATTGGGTTAAAGGGATTCAGCCGCAACATATGGAGACTCAAGCCACTCGAGAGGGCATCAGTCCGGCGGGCTGAGATTTCATCGGTTCGACCTGCCAAATAGACGATTACCTTTCCTGTAATCAACAAATCACGCAAAACGCGGAAAAACTGCCGAAAAGGTACATATTTTCGGTCAGACTCGATAAACTGTTTCTCGTCGAGTTCACTATAGTATTTGGTGAGGTAACTCAGGTGGCGAAGTTCGTCTATCATCAAAAATAAATATTGTTTCTGAAATTGTTCGAGAAGATACTGGACAAAGGTCAAAACGTCAGGTTGCTTCATCGCTGCGTCCGTGAATTCTACAATTTCACGGGCGGTCATACCGTTA